GTGAAGTGACTCTAAACCCCATCCCCTGTCCCCCTCTGCTGCTGGGGGGAAGGAGGGAGAGAAACTGGGAACAAAGTGATTTGGGCCCGGGAAGAAGGGAGGGGTGGGGTAACATATGCAAGCTCTGCTCTTTGTGTTGTCTGTGGCCTGTGTGTGTTTGATTAGTGTGAAATTAAATTATTGTTTTTTCCCCAAGTTGAGTCTGCTTTGCCTGGGACCTTAATTGGTGAAGAACCTTCCTTGTCCTTTGTCTCAACCCATGAGCTTTGTCCTTTTCATCCCAGAGTGTGTGTGGGGGTGAATTGAGTGAGCAGCCATGGGGCTGTTCCTTTGTTGTCACGTTGGGCCAAAACCACAACAATGGTGAAGTACAATATGCACCTCAAGGTAATCTGACTCTGGTGGAGAATCCTTAATTTGACAGTTGGTAAAAGATAGAGCCTACGTGTAATATATATGGTATGGAATAAGAGGTGGTATGTCCTGGTTTGAGGCAGGATGAAGCAAATTTTCCTTTTACGGTTGTTTTTTTTCCTTCAGTAAGCTCTCTTTTAACTAGCAGCAAGTTTTCCAGCTAGTGGACTGAGAATGCTAGAATATTTATTTTACTGCTGAGACCCAAAGGTCGCTTTTTGCTCTGCTGCCACAGAGGCTACCGAGGCAGAAGAGTCGTACCTGTAACTCCCGCAGCAATGAGTAGACTAGACAGCCAGCAAAACTGACCAAAGTATTCCATTCCATATACCTACATAAGCTCAGTGTAAGGTCAAAGATCACAGAAGACAACTTTCTTCCTGTTTCTTCTTCCCTTCTCTTCTGTCCATAGCTGGCGTTTGGGGAGGACTCCATCTATCCATCACTGTTGACCCCCAAGCTCATGCATTCCTGACCCTCATAACTCTACCCTCAGCTCCTGTCTGCTCTGCTGCTATCTCTGGCAGTGTCCTGGGACATTTCAGGACTGTTCACAGCTAAGTAGAGTGCCCTGGGAGTTGCTGGGGGTGAGGGAGAGGTAACAGGGTTTTGCACATTCCTGAACATATTTGTATATAATTGTACATATTGACAATGCACATAGAAGCATTACACAGAGATGCTCAGAATAGCAGTTGTCAAGCCAACTGGTACACCAAGGTACACCAGATATTACAGGTAACGTCACATGGAGATGTTTGTTTAAGCTTAAATGCACCTTAGTATACCTTTGTATCCATCTGAGGCTATTTAAACTCAAGGTAAAGTACCAATGGAAGTTTAGGTTGCTTCTGGAGCTGAGTCTGAAATCCTCAGAAGACTTTTCTGTGATGTCTGTGCTACAGCCCTTTTAAATATGCACAGGAACTATCTACAGGAAATCCCTTCTAAGCATACAGAGATTGCATGCTGTAAGAGTAACCAGGAACAAGTCAACTGAAGTTTAAAGATGACTATTTCAAAATAACTAGGAGTCATAATTCTTAATACTTACTTAGTAAGATGCCGACATAATACATCTTTACAAATTGGCTGTTCAGCCAAAGTCAGCCAAAACTCACAAGCCTCCAAAGCCACATTTTCATCTTGATCCTGAGTCCTCTGAAGCATATACTACAGAATATAAAAAAAAAATTATTTGTATAAGATATAAGCCTTAAGTACCCAAAAAGAAGCTATCAACATTGCAAAGTATGCTTGCAAAAACAGACTATGTTACAAAGAGTAATTCAGTTTCTTTGAGGTGAGAAGAAACAGATATAAGAAGCTACTTAAAGCTATGGTGGAATAACCCAAAAGATTTATTTCTTACTGTTGGGTGGTTCAGATTCTAAGTTTCTTCACTGCTTAAGAACATTATTACCAAGAAACTACAGACGTACTCAAGATAGTAAACCGCAGTTTCCTGAGAACAGTTTTTATTTTTTAAATTATTTTACCACCCCCCTTTACCTTTTTACCCTATACACTTAGTAAGATGGAAATAATTTTTATATCCAGCACCATAAAAAAGCTTCCCCTTCAAATCTTGATTACCTGACAGAATGCAATTAAGTAGAACCCATAACAGGGAAGAAAAGTCTTACTTTTTTCTAGCATGAATGGTAATTCATATATTCAATATCAAATTTTTAAGCTTACTGTTAAAATTTAATCCTCCTTAAAAAGTAATCAAATACCTGTGTAAACAGCCTAAGTATACCACAACTACATCAGTTTCTTATACAGAACTGCCATAAAAATTTAGGAAGGATGGTTGCAACTTCCAAAACAGTAATTTCTGCATTCTTCCATGCCAGCCCTTATTTCTGAAGCAGCTGGTTCTTCCACTCATTTTAGGAGCCTCATGTAAGTCCATGCAGCTAACTTTCCTCACTCATGGATTTAAAATGAGCAAAAGAAAACCTTCAAAATACCGTTTTATTCTCAAAATCAAACAGAACAGGGTGACTTATGTTATCCTTACACATTTCAGAGATGCAAGATTTGCCACAAACACCCCCCCTCCTACAGAATTGCACTAAATTGCAAGTGTTTCCTAAAGGGTCACTATTGTGATTAAGAACTCACGGTAACAGAAATACTGCTCTATTCTGAGTTGTCAACAGATTGCAGGTTGGAAAATTTGAAAAATGTCCCACCCATTGCAAGCAAGGCTTCATTAATGCACCTGAAGTGATTCTGCATTTTTCCCCAGAGGACTTGAAAATCCACTATTTTGTTGTATCCAGTTTTTTTGTCAGAAAGTCAAAAACAGAATGACAAAGTATTCTCTATTTGAAGGTGCTTCTTACACTGTAATTTCCTCTTTAAGTATTACAGTATATGCTCCATGAAGCTCTTCAAGGAGTTAATAAATAGGACCCTCTGGGAAATGGCCCTCAGGGACAAGGGAGCAGAACAGAGCTGGCAAATCTTTAAGGATGCTTTCCATAGACTGCAAGAGATCTCAATTCCCAGGTGTAAGAAATTGGGCAAGGAAGGCAAGAAACCAGCATGGCTGAGCCGAGACCTGCTGCTCAAACTAAAAGGCAAGATGGAACTACACAGACAGTGGAAGAGGGGACAGGTATCCTGGGAAGAGTATAGGGGTGTTGCCTGGTTGTGTAGGGACAAGATCAGGAAGGCCAAGGCCCAATTCAGCTGAACTGGGCAAGGGATGTAAAGGAGGGCTTCTACAGGTATGTAAACCAGAAAAGAAAGGTTAAAGAAAGCATACCCCCCTGATGAGCAGCAGTGGTGAACTAGTAACAACAGATGAGGAGAAGGCTGAGATTCTCAATGACTTTTTTGCCTCAATCTTCACTGGCAACCCCTCCCCTCACGGCTCTCAAGTTGATGGCCCACAAGACGGAGACCAGGGAGACGAAGTCCCTCCCACCGTAAGCAAAGACAAGGTTCATGACCATCTGAGGAACCTGAACCTACACAAGTCCATGGGACCTGATGAGATGCATCCCAGAGTCCTGAAGGAATTGGCTGATGTAGTTGCCAAGCTACTCTCCATGATATTTGAAAAGTCATGGCAGTCAGGTGAAGTCCCTGGTGACTGAAAGAAAGGAAACATTACACCCATTTTTAAAAAGTGTAGAAAGGAGGATTGGGAACTACCGACCTGTCAGCCTCACCTCTGTGCCTGGGATGATCATGGAACAGATCCTCCTAGAAGCTCTGACAAGGCACATAGAGGACAGGGAGGTGATTCAGGACAGCCAGCATGGCTTTACTAGGGGAAAATCCTGCCTGACCAAACTATTGACTTTCTACAACCATGAGACTACATCAGTGGACAAGGGAAAAGCAGTGGGTGTCAATCTATCTGGACTTCTACAAGGCCTTTGACACAGTCCCCCACAACTTCTCTCTAAGTTGGAGAGATATGGGTTTGATGGGTGGACTGTTCAGTGGATAAGGAATTGGCTGGATGGTCGCATCCAGGAGGTAGTGGTCAATGGCTCCATGTCCAGATGGAAAATGGTGACAAGTGGTGTCCCTCAGGGGTCCATACTGGGACCAGTGTTGTTAAATATCTTCATTAACGATATTGACAGTGGCATTGAGAGCACCCTCAGCAAGTTTGCTAATGACACCAAGCTGGGTGATGCAGTCAATATGCCAGAGGGATGGGATGCCATTCAGAGGGACCTGGACAAGCAGGAGAAGTGGGCTCAGGTGAACTTCATGAGGTTCAACAAGGCCAAGTGCAAGGTCCTGCACCTGGGCTGGGGCAACCAGATACAGACTGAGGGAAGACATGCTAGAGAACAGCCCTGTGGAAAAAGACCTGGGGGTACTAGTGGATCAAAAGCTGGACATGAGCCACCAATGTGCAATTGCAGCCCAGAAGGCTAATCACATCCTGGGCTGCATCAAAAGAAGTGTGGCCAGCAGATCAAGAGAGGTGATTCTGCCCCTCTACTCTGCCCTGGTGAGACCTCACCTGGAATACTGCGTCCAGCTCTGGAGCCCCCAACACAAGAAGGATGTGGACCTGTTGGAAAGGGTCTAGAGAAGGGTAATGAAAATGATCAGAGGGCTGGAGCAACTCTCTTATGAAGACAGACTGAGGGAGTTAGGGTTGTTCAGCCTGAAGAAGAGACGACTCCAGGGAGACCTTATAGCAACCTTGCAATACCTGAAAGTAGCCTATATGAAGGCTGGGGAAGACCTGTTCACAAGAAGATGTAACAATAGGACAAGGGATAATGGTTTCAAGCTAGAGGAGGTTAGATTTTGGTTGGACGTTAGGAAAAAGTTATTTAATACGAGGGTGGTGCATGGGGGCCCCATTCCTGAAGACATCCAAGGTCAGGCTTGACGGGGCTCTGAGCAATCTGTTCTAGTGTGAGATGTCCCTGCTTATTGTAGGGGAGTTGGATTAGATGACCTTTAGAGGTCCCTTCCAACCCAATACATTCTATGATTCTAAGTTAGATAGTAGTATATTGAAAAAGCTACTTACACTCAGTGGTATAAGATAGCCATATACACAGCCTCAAAAACATAGAATGGGAAGGGACACCTTCCATTAGATCAGGTTCCTCAAAGCCCCATCCAACCTGGCTTTGAACACTTCCAGGGAGGGGGCACCCATAACTCCAGCATCTCACCACGCTCACAGTAAAGAACTTCTTCCTAATATCCAATCTAAATCTACGCTCTTTCAGTTTGAAACTGTTACCCCTCATCCTATCACTACACTTCCTGATAGAGTCTCTCACCATCTTTCCTATAGGCCCCCATAATAAGAACAGTGATTCTAGTAACAAAGTGTGGGAAGATTATTTAAAGGCTTTTTTTATATTACCATGCCAAATTTTAATAAGTACTTTTAATTCTAAGCTATAAAGCTCTACTGACTTTAGGCAATGGAAATAGTTGCTTCATAACAATAAATAGCAAGGGAAACAAAATAGCACAGGAAGATTATTCAGAACTGGTCTGTGTACTCTAACAGACAGTATTGTGTCAGCCTTATGTCAAGCCATCAAGAAAAGAATATCATGATACACAAATCATTAAGAACATATCCTCTGTAGTAGTAAGAGACATCTGAATAAAGTAACAGGATGCACACAATCTTATGACTTCAGCAACAAGCTGATTTTCTGTGTTATGAAGTTATCAATACACTATTCATTCATTACAAGTAATGTCATTATGCACTGTAAAATAAAAAGTCAGGAGTTCTACTGAGAAAGATATTAGGAGCCACATGTTTGGCTAAATATGCTCTATGAACATACAAGTGCAATCTAATAACTGAAACCTGTTAGGTCAGTCTACTCTGACATATCCTGTTGTCATGTTCACAGACAAAGCAAAGAAAATAAAAAACCACACCACAAACACACACACATCTGCTTCTGCTTACCTGGCAGTATATGTTCAAAAAACCCACTGAAATCCAAACTCAACCATTTCTACATGGTCCAGGAACTTGGCAAGAAAGCTAATACTAAACCTGTCTGCTTTAAAAACATTATGCTAGCCAAGACCCTCTGTCTTAAGAATATTAACGATCCAGTAGTGATTCTAACTACTTTAAAAGTGATTCTCCGTAAGTATAAAAAACACATGGATACAAATTTTTCTTTTTAAGACTTCCTTCAGTTAGAGCAGCCACCATCAGCATTCAGCTTGGAGGTATTCAAGCTTCAAAGGGGCAAAACCAGACTCATTAGAATGTTGAAGAGAAGGGTCGGGGGATCTCATCCAGTCAGTTATGGAATATTATTTTTGCACACCCCAATATGTATACAGAACCAGGAAAATTGGTAATGGTAGTCCCAAAACCGGGGGGAGGGAACTAAACTTTGTTATAGAACAAAAATTTGCTACTACTGTCTTTTGTAGATAAGTAGTCTAGTAATAGTTTTCCCAAGAGCAAAATACCAGATAGAATGAAAATACAATCTTGATCTTCTGGCTGGGGACATAATTTCTACCCACAGAAGTTCCTTACTGATCTTAGGAGGGTGAAGAGACAGAGAAGTTATCACTTGTTGACAATATAATCTCCAAAGCTTTATTCTCTCAAAAAAAAAACCACCCCAAACCCAACCAAAGAGAAAAGTCACTACGTACCAACAATCCCTACTTGTCCTGTGTTAAATGAGGACATTTTTGCCAGTGTTGGTGTCATGGAATTCCAGACAACAATAGGAAGACTAGATAGCAAGCCAAGGCTGTCATGGTTCACCTCCATTTTATGTCTCTCTAATGTCTTTGTCCAGGAGCAAAAAAACAAACCAAACCATGTTGTCTGTACTTAGCCCTTATAGAATATGACACTGGGTTATAACCCACTTGTTTACATGAAGTCTGCATAAGAAACATACTGATCTTAGCTATATTTCCAATCTAGCAAGTAGTGTGTGTAAAGGGTGGCTAGAAACTGCCAGTATTTCCCAGAAATATGGTATATGCATTGTCTGTCAAATACAGTGTCGAGTTGGCAATTAGCTAAAAAGAAACTTTTGCAACCTTGATCTTGAAGGAAAATGAAGAGTAGGCAAGCACAAGAATAACATACCCATTCTGATGAATGCTTTTAATTTGTTATTATTTCTGCAACCCCAAACGTGTTTCAGCATGCAATCTGGGAAGTGAGACTCACCTCAACTATATTAATCATGTGAGGAAGCAGGCGATCCATTCGAACTTCCAGTAACATTACCAGAGCACGGCAAACGTTTTTGCGTACTTCAGGCTCCTCATCACCAGCCAGTGCAAAAAGATTCTGTTGGAATGTAATATCAGTTGAAAAGCCTCAATTCATTTATTTCAACTTGTATTTAAATTTACATTACTGACAAACTAAGATATTCCAACATGTACTTCTATACCCTCCCACCCCTCAGAATACCGTATTATTTCTTTAACATATATGGTTTAGCAAGTGAACTCTTCAGACTCTCAATGTGTATTGTTACCCAGTGTTTTGATCATGTGTACATTAGATAAAAGAACATTATTTCCTGAATTATAATTTTTCCCTAAACATTAATGGAGTTCTGAAGCTAGAAAACTCCTTCAGTATGTAACAGCAGCAAATAAAATACTCTAGATAACCTAAAATATCACCCTCCTAATCCACATTCAGTATTAGTATTCAGAGAGACCCATCATCCAGACTCAGTGACATGATGATCTCTGTACTTATCTCTCCATCACAGGTGAGACTGCTGCCAGTACCGTTTATTTATGAAAAGGAAGCATCGTTCAAAATACTATTTTTTGGGGCTGGGAGAGTGCTTCTACTAATCTGAGTGTAAGTATACAGAATGAACTTCAATCCATGGGGACTGAAGCTAAGAATAGGAAGCCAGCAATGTGGCATTTTGGGGTAGCGGTGGTTGTAAAACATTATTCAAAGCCCCTCAACCAAGAATGTACACTCACCTCAATAAAAGAATCTATGTGCAACATAAGAGCTTGAGTTCTACTGATGATAAATTGATTGACACATGCAACAGCATGAGACCTACAAATGGAAGAGTTAAAATACACATTTTTCATTACTTAAACATTTTCCAAACTGTACATAAGCATCAAAATCATTAGGAAGCAAATCACATTGTCCAAGCATCTAGAGGCAAGAGGGAACAAATCTGCACATCTAAATTGTTACCAAGAAAAATTACTATATCACATTTTAAGTACCATCTTATATTCCAGTATATCTAATAACTATTTTTAATTTAAGTATTCAATATATAAAAACAAGAGCAAGATGACTATACCTGGCACATTTGTTCTGAACAGTATGTAAGGATGTTCTTTTAAAGTATATTATGATTACTGATCTTTTCTGATATTAGCAATTCCATACAAGTCAACACAGGGAAATTTTAGCATACCGTTCTTCATTGATAATTATCAAACTGCTTTTGCAAAATGTTTAGCATTTAATGAGACCAAGAAGCATAAGTAATATAGTTGTAACTTAGAACAAATACGCACTTGCATTAGGATACATATAAAAACACTTGTGATAGAAACATACTAAAAGTGAAGAAGTGGTTCTTCTATTCCACTTTATGCATAGCCATTATTTATAAGTCATTTTCATTCTCAGAGATATCATAGAATCATAGAATCATTAAGGTTGGAAGGGACCTTAAAGATCATCAAGTTCCAACCCCCCTGCCATGAGCAGGGAACCCTACCACTAGACCAGGTTGCACAAAACCTCGTCCAACCTGGCCTTAAAAACCTCCAGGGATGGGGCATCAACAACCTCCCTGTGCAACCCATTCCAGTTCCTCACCACCCTTATAGTGAAGAATTTCTTCCTAATATCTAACCTAAATCTCCCTCTCTCAGTTTAAAACCATTACCCCTTGTCCTATCACTATCTTCTCTGATGAAAAGCCCCTCCCCAGATTTCCTGTAGCCCCTTCAAGTACTGGAAGGCCGCTATAAGGTCTCCCTGGAGCCTTCTCTTCTCTAGGCTGAACAGCCCCAATTTTCTTATCCTGTCTTCACAGCAGAGGTGCTTCAGGCCTTTGATATATAAAAGCTAAATTATGCAAGTAAAGGCACAAGGCAAAGCTACCTTTAACACAGGTACCTTTAAAATCCTTTGAAGATCCATTCAAGTATTTTTACTAACGTAACTCCAAATGTCAGGTATGTTCATACATTTCTTGAAAGAGTCTCATAAACCAGTGTTCAAAAGTTGTCTCTTGACAGTTTTAAATATAAAGTATTTTACTGACACTACTAATATTCTTCATAATTCAGCACTATGCACTGAAACCAGACCATGGGTCAGCAGGTGATCTGCTTTAAAGTTGAAACTGGTTTATCTATCTCAAAGCCACAAACATAATAGCATACAAAAAGTGAAAGACTGTTTAATGTGATAAGGAAAAAATGAGGTTTCTCTCCATCTTTCCCAGCTCCAATGAAGTATTAAGCTTATCTTTCCACAAGTGCAAGTTCATGCTGTTATATATTTTTCTTGGTGCACATCTATTTTAGGTGAGTTTCTAAATCTTATTGTCATATATTCTTAGTTATACTCTTTGTTTTAGTCTTCATCATCTACTACTGCTGGCAATAATTGCTGCCTCCAAGTTGTAGAATCTTTCAATACAATTTTCAAACACAAGTTCAAAAACACATTTCACAGAATCACAACAGAATGGTTGAGGTTGGAAGTGACTTCTTGTCTTATCCAATGCCCCTTCTCAAGTAGGGTCACCTAGAGTAGACTACACAGGACCACATCCCAACAGCTTTTGAATACAAGGATGGACAACCTGTACCAGCGCTTGATCACGCTCACAGTAAGAAAAAGTGCTTCCTGACATTAAGGCAGAACCTTCTGTGGTTCAGTTTTTGCCCATTGCCTTTTGTCCTGTCACTGGGCACCATTGAATAGAACCTGGCTTTGTCTTCTTTGCAGCCTTCCTGCATGTATTTATACACATGGATGAGATCTGCCCTCAGCCTTCTCTTTTCCAGGCTGAATAGTCCCAGCTCTCTCAGCCTTTCCTCATAGGAGAGATGCTCCAGACCCTTGATCATCTTCATGGCCATTTGTTAGACTCCAGTAGCTCCATGTCTCTCTCGTACTGGTGAGCCCAAAACTGGACACAGTACTCTAGGTGTGGCCTCACTTGGAAGGTGAGGGGAAGGATCATCTCCCATGCTGGCAACACTCTAGTCCAGGATACCATTCATCATCTTTGGGGCAAGGGCACATTGCTGTCTTATTTCAGGGTCAAAGCTACCTTTCTTGTTAATCAATATTAGCAATAACAAGGTAATTCTGGAATTTCTCTTCTATCCTATACTTCTGTTAGTTTGGAGAAATTAATACTGTATTAAAGTAAAAATATGTTGAACCCAATTATTTTGATCCAGCTGAAAGACAGAACTTTTTAAGTTATGGTGCAGTTAAAGCAGAAAAAAATTTTCTGCAAGAACTCTGAAACTAATATCAGCAAACGTTTTTTACTCTCCCAATACTGCATTGCAAAAAGAATGCAAGATAATTCTTTCTAATCAGAATATGAAATTCTCATAATATGCAAAATCTTACAAGAAACAGTTTGATTTTCAAAGTCGGACAGCTATTAGATTTGGGAGATATATAAAGAGAGGCTAATCCATTAAATAAGCAGATAAGCACGGAAATTACTGATGCATGAAATCTCTGTGGCTTTTCTTCTCACATTTGCACGTGCAGGATCATTTAAAAAAACAAAGCATGTTTTTTAAACTGTTTTATAAAATATCAACCTTGCTGCTCATGTAAACAATTTTTTAACAGGTAACTTTAGTACAACACCTAAAACTACCTTATTTTTGGACTGCTGTGCTTGAAAAACTGCAAGAATTTAGGTATCATGATATTGAGTGGTCGGTCCAATACATCACTATCTAAAATTTCAGCAGAATCTTCACATATCTTCTGAAGAGCACCAAATGCACCCTATTGAAAAAAAAGAAAGCTGTTTAACACTTTGAAGAAAGCAACATTTCAGGTTTTCTACAGAACAGGAATTTTAACACAATACCACAGTGAATTAATAAAGTAAATGTAGCAAACAAAACAGGGAGTTAGAACATCCTTAAAGGTTTTTTATTTAAGCACTTCACACTGTCATCTGTAGGCTTCCAAACTGGATGAGTCTATTACACAGAAGTGATAATTTTATTTTTAGCATTCAATACTCGTTTATTCAATCATTATTTTAAAAATGCTTAAAAGCAAAATTGTATTTGAAAAATAAATTACAAGTTGCAGAAGCATCCTATTTAATTTCACATGTGATTTTATTTCCCTTAATCATTTGTTATAGGGTAAAACAGAACTCCGGACATTATGGTCAATTTGAGTTTCATTTTCAAATGTTTTTCTTAAGAAAGCAGCACTAAAATACTACATAACAGCATGACATCTTGGACCACTGTCATATCTCTAAAGATTATTTTATAAAAAATGCTTCAAACACTTATGGAGACAGCATAGAGTAATTAAAATTGTGTCAGACAAGGTTTTTTTCTCCTCATAACTTAAAACAGTTGAGCTGGTATTTTTTTTATTTTCCTTAATAAAAACTGAACAAAAGAGAGTTCATTTCACACTAGCCTGATATAGCAGGCACAGATCACATTTCTAGATTAAGAAAAATGAACAATGCTACTTTTAAGACAGACAAAATTCAGGGACAACTTGATGATGCTTAAAAGATTTGGCATCACAAAGTCATAACTTCAGGAAGATCATCCTCAGCCATAGGCAAGCCAAACTGGTAAAGAGGCCTTTAAACTGATGAGGCTGGGGGAAGGAACCTCCATTCATTCCACAGCGATCAATTTCAATGTGATGCTGGCACCAGTAATAGATGCCCAGAGCCTATAGAAGGGGTGCAGGTCAGCAGGGGAGCATCTGGAGTGCAGCATAATGAAATCCCAGCCCCTCCAGCTGGTCAGTTACCTTCACTGAAGGCACAGCTTAAATAACTATTGAAATGCACGCAGCATGGGGAATAAACAAGAGGAATTAGAGATGAGTGCGAGCCTGCAGGGCTATGATCTTATTGGCATCAGAGACCTGGTGGAATGGCTCCTATGACTGGGGCATCAGAATGGAGGGTTATAGACTCTTTAGGAAGGACAGACAGGGGAACCAAGGTGGGAGTGTTGCCCTCTATGTCAAAGACCAGTTGGAGTGCATGGAACTCTCCCTGGGGATGGATGAAGAGCCAATTGAGAGCTTATGGGTTAAGATTAAGAGGAAGGCAGGCACAAGGGCCATTAGTGGGGGTCTGCTATAGGCCACCTGACCAGGAGGACAGTATAGACGAGGCACCCTACAGACAGATAGGATCATCTTCGGTCATGGGTGACTTCAACCACCCTGATAACTGTTGGAGGAACAACTCTGCAAAGCACAAACAATCCAGGAGGTTCCTAGAGTGTGTTGATGACAACTTCCTTTTCCAAGTAATTGAGGAACCAACAAGGAGAGGTGCTATGCTGGACCTTAGCCTCATCAACAAGGAAGGGCTGGTGAGGGATGCTAAGCTCAAGGGCAGCCTAGGTTGTAGCAACCATGAAATGGTGGACTTCAAGATCCTTAGGGCAGCAAGGAGGGCTCACAGTAAGATTACTACCCTTGAGTTCAGGAGGGCACATTTCAGGGATCTGCTCGAGAGAGTGTCATGGGATAACATCCTGGAGGGAAGAGGGGCCCATGAAAGCTGGCTGATATTTAAGGATCACCTTCTCCAGGCCTAAGAGTGATGCATCCCAACTAAGAGAAAATCAAGTAAAAACTCCAGGAGGCCAACGTGGATGAGCAAGCAGCTCCTAGAAAAGCTCAAACTTAAGAAGGAAGTATAGAGAGGATGGAATCTAGGGCAGGTACCCTGGGAGGATTACAGAGAGGTTGTCCGAGCAGCTAGGGATCAGGTGAGGAGAGTCAAATCCCAGATGGAATTAAATCTTGCCAGGGATGTAAAGACCAACAAGAAAAGCTTCTATAGGCATGTTGGGGATAAAAGGACAACCAAGGAAAATGTAGGCCCTCTCCTGAAGGAAATGGGAGACCTAGCTACGCAGGATATTGAGAAAGCTGAGGTTCTCAATGACTTCTTTACATCAGTCTTCTCTGATGAGGGCTCCAGCCTCATCGTAAAGGCCACAGCAGGTGAAAGCAGGGACTGGAAGAACAAAGTACCCTTCACTGTAGGAGAAGAACAAGTTCATGACCATCTAAATAACCTGAAGGTGCACAAGTCTATGGGACCTGATGGGGTCCATCCATGGGTCCTGAGGGAGCTGGCAGATGCAGTTGCTAAGCCCCTGTCTGTCATATTTGAGAGGTTATGGCAGTCTGGTGAGGTTCCCATTGATTGGAAAAAAGGAAACATAGCCCCTATTTTTAAAAAGGGGAAAAAGGAAAACCCAGAGAACTACAGGCTGGCCAGTCTCACCTCTGTGCCCAAAAAGGTAATGGAACAGATCCTCCTGGAAAATCTGCTGGGGCACATGGAAAATAAGGAGGTGATTGGTGACAGCCAACATGGCTTCACTAAGGGCAACTTGTGCCTGACCAATTCGGTGGCCTTCTACAACAAGGCTACAGAGATGGTGGATGGTGGAAGAGCAACTGACGTCATCTACCTAGATTTATGCAAGGCATTTGACACTGTCCCACATGACAGCCTGGTCTCCAAAGTGACAAGACATGGATTTGACAGATGGACCACTCGGTGGATAAGTAATTGGCTGGATAGCCACACCCAGAGAGTTGTGGTCAATGGTTCAGCATCCAAGTGGAGGCAAGTGACAAGTGGCATTCCTCAGGGGTCAGTATTGGGACCATTGCTGTTCAGTGTCGTTGTTGGAGACATGGACAGAGGGATTGAGTGCACCCTCAATGGGTGGTAATGGTTTTAAACTGAAAGAGGGCAGACTTAGGTTAGACATCAGGAAGAAATTCTTCACCGTGAGGGTAGTAAGGTGCTGGAATAGGTTGCCCAGGGAGGTTGTGGAAGCCCCCTCCCTGGAGGTGTTTAAGGCCAGGTTGGATGAGGCTTTGTGCAGCCTCATACCTAGCAGAACATGTTCTGCCCATGGCAGGGAGGTTGGAACCTGATGATTTTTAAGGTCCCTTCCAACTTTGACCTTTCTATGATTCTATGACACTTCTCAGCTGAGATGCTATGATTACCCATATACAGTCTTATTCTGCCTTTATGCAAATAAAACATTCATTTGCATAAACACTAAGAACATGGAATATAGGTAGAATAAAACATAACAAATTTGAGCTGCCACAGGCAGAACATGTTCCACTAGACCAGGTTGCTCCAAAAGCCCCATCCAGCCCAGCGTTGAACACTTCCAGGGACATGGCATCCACAATCCCCCCGGGCAACCTGTTCCAGTGTCTCAAATTTAGATGGTAATGCAGTGAAAAATAAGCCTCCTTACCTCACAGGTGTTGTAATCTTCAGAATCCAACAGGCTGCAAAGCTTTGGTAAGAGTTCAGGCCAGTTCTGTAATTCCCCTTTTGAAGCAATGGTTGTTATCAGAATGCCTAAGTGAATCAGAGGAATAAAAGAAACAAGATCTCATATATACTCTTCTCAGAGATCTAAGGAGTTAAGAAATTTCTTGGTTTATTAAGAGCTGGTAAGTATAAAAAGAAGTAGCACATTTCATTACAAATGGTATTTGAAGGACTTTGAAATGCAAAGGCAGGTTGTTCCTTCCTGCTACCATGAAGGGTTCGGACATGAGAAGCCAAACACAAAGTAATTCCCACTTAAAGGAATAATCATGCTCAAACACTGCAAGGCAGGTTCTCCTGTAAGTTTACTAAAAGCTGTACAAATCTTGACCTCCAGTAAACAGAATATCCACCTCAAGTCACCTCCTCTTTATTATGATACAAAAGCATGAGCATAGAAAGCTGTCATTCAATAAATTTATAACCCAATGGCAAATTATACATTCACAACTTTACTATGTTTACACAAAACATTAAGGACACATTCTAAGACTGAGATACCTACTAAGAGCTTGCACACACTATAGCAGGTGTCTTCATCTAGCCCACATCCAGGGCTAAACTGAAGCAGTTTGTTCTCTCACCGAGTGCCCCCTTCCCAGCCAAGAAGGGGAATCAGGAAGAGGAGAGAAGCCTCATGGGTTGAAATAGAAATAGATTTCATGAAATCACAAAACTAATACAAACACCCACATAAAGTAATTAACTTATACTCAGGACTAGCAGAGGGAGCAACAGGAAGCAGAACTACCCACCCTCAGCATACATTGCATTCAGCAAGAGTCGTCTCCAGAGAGTGAGTGATTGTGCTTCTCACGAGATCTTTGTCAATCCCCGCATCTCTAGTCATCTGTCCCAACTGCTTGACTCTGTTATCCTCTAATTCCACACCATCCACTCTGTTATCCCAGCACCGGAGCAGCCGAGTAACAAGGTGCTCTCCTTCATGCTGACTATAATCTTTGCAGATACCTCGCAAGTCACTAAAGGACAGAGATCAGCTAGTCACCTCTTCACGACCCAACCTTGTGTATTGCCTCTTATACACAGGGGCAACTAGCACCATTTGAGTGTCTAAGTCAGCTGCATCACCCATCACTGGAATCTGAGAGACTGCAATGCTTCTCATCACTGCAAAGCCCACTGCAGGGGTTGCGGCCGCTACAGAAGATCTATGCCAAGGTTTCATGCTTCATTATACCATAAGCTAAGGCCATACAACCCAGAAAAACTACACCCATAAGTCCACGCCCAAAACCAATAAATCAAATAAAACTGTCCCAGTTTTAGCCAGGTTAAAGCCAATTTTCTTTTTAATGATTTTTTTTTCCTTCAGCGAACTCTCTTTTGAGCAGCACGCTTGCTGAAATTAACGGCAAGTTTTCCAGCTACTGGACTGAGTTGCCACCTCAGTGGTGCATAGATGACAAAATCGCACCAACAGAGACTCTGTGGTCCCCATTCATAAGCTGATTTGGCAACTGGAGAGCCAAGGAGTGATCAGCAGGACTCATTCACCCTTTAACAGTCTTATATAGCAAGTGCAAAAACCTAATGGCGAGTGGAGGCTGACAGTGGACTATCATGGCCTGAATAAGGTGACACCACCGCTCAGTGCTGCTGTGCCAGACATGCTAGAACTTCAGTACAAGCTAGAATCGAAAGCAGCCAGGTGGTGTGCCACTAATGCTCATGCCTTTTTCTCTTTTCCTCTACAACCAGAGTGCAGGCCACAGTTTGCTTTCACCTGGAGGAGAGTCCAGTACACCTGGAATCGACTGCCCCAGGGGTGGAAACACAGCTCAACCGTTTGCCATGGACTGATCCACGCTGCACTGGAGAAGGGTGGAGGTGCAGAACACCTGCAAGTATATCAATGACATCATTGTGTGAGGTAACACACCAGAAGAAGTCATCAAGAAAAGGTAAAAAGATCATCCAAATTATTTTGAAAGCTGATTTTACTGTAAAAAGAAGCAAGATCAAGGAACCTACACGAGAAATCCAATTCCTGGGAATTAGGTGGCAAGATGGACGTCACCAGATCCCAATGGAAGTGATTAACAAAATAACAGTTATGGCCCCATCAACTAACAAAAAGGACACTCAAGCCTTTTTAGGAACTGTTGGTTTCTGGAGAATGCACATTCCTGGTTACAGTCAACTTCTCTATGAGGTGACCCAAAAGAAAAACAACTTGAAGTGGGATCCTGACCAACAGAAAGCTTTTGAGCACATCAAAAAGGAGACTGTGCGAGCCATAGCCTTTGGACCAGTACAAACAAGACCAGACGTCAAAAACGTGCTCTATATTGCAGCCAGATACAGTGGTCCTACCTGAAGCCTCTGGCAGAAAGCACCAGAGGAAACTCAAGGCCGACCCCTAGGATTCCAGAGACGAAGTTCTAGAGGTTCCAAGGCCAACTATACGTTGACTGAAAAGGAGATGCAGCATATGAAGGAGTTAGAGCCGCTTCAGAAGTGATCGGCACTGAAGCGCAGCTCCTCCTGGCGCCCAGATTACCAGTGCTGAGCTTCATGTTCCAGAGTAATGTTTCTCCAATCCATCATGCCACCGATGCTACCTGGACTCCTTTAATTACCCAGCGAGCTCAAATATGAAGCCCTAATCGTCCAGGAATCCTAGAAGTTATTACTGACTGGACAGAAGGCACACACTTTGGAATGCCACCATGAGAAGTGGTGAGATGAGCTCAAGAATCTCCACCATATGACCATCTACCAGGGAAACACTGACTGAGAAACATTTGCTCTGTTCACTGATGGTTCCTGTCGTCTTGTAGGGAACCGCCGGAGATGGAAAGCTGTTGTTTGGAGTCCTGCATGACTTGCTGCTGAAGCAGCTGAAGGAGAAGTTGAATCGAGTCAGTTTGCAAAGGTCAAAGCCATCCAGCTGGCTTTGGACATTGCTGAGCGAGAGGGGTGGCCAAGACTCTATCTCTACACTGACTTGTGGAAGGCAGCAAATGCCTTGTGGGAGTGGCTAAAACAGTGGCAGCAGAACAACCTATTTGGGTTGCTGACCTGTGGAAAGACATTGCAGCTCGGATAGAGAAACTGATGGTAAAAGTGCACCATGTAGATGCACACGTGCCTCTGAGTCGAGCCACTGAGGAACATCGACACAACCAACGAGCAGATGAGGCTGCTCAGGTGTTCCAAATAGACTTAGACTGGGAACATAAGGGTGAACTCTTTCTGGCTCGATGGGCCCATGACACTTCAGGTCATCAGGGCAGAGATGCAACATACAAATGGGCTCGTGACCGAGGAGTGAACTTAACCATGGGCACTATTGTGCAGGTGATCCACGACTCTGAGACGTGAACTGCAATTAAGCAGGCAAAACCGATGAAACCTTTGTGGTATGAGGGGAGGTGGTCAAAGTATGGGAAGGCCTGGCAAATTGACTACATCACACTGCCTCAGACCTCCCAGGGTGAGCACTATGTGCTTATGATGGTGGAAACAAATACATATCCTGTCCTGTGTGCCTCATGCCACAGCCCAGAACATCATCCTGGGCCTTGAGAAGCAGCAAATCTTGTGGAGACACAGTACTCCAGAAAGAATTGAGTCAGACAATGGGACTCATTTCAAAAACAATCTTGTGACTGACTGGGCCAAAGAACATGCTATTGAATGGATCTACCATATCCCGTACCATGCACAAGCCTCAGGGAAAAATGAACGGTACAGTGGTCTGTTAAAATCTACCCTGAAGGCAATGGGTGGTGGAACTTGCAAAAATTGGGACAGACATTTAGCAAAGGCCACCTGGTTAGTTAACACCAGGGGATCCATCAATCGGGCTGGTCCTGCTCAGTCAGTCCTTCTATATACAGTATATGGGGATAAAGTTCCTGTGGTATGTGAAAGGAATCTGTTGGGGAAATGTGTTTGGGTTTTTCCTGCTTCAGGCAAAGAAAAACTTGTCTGTGGTGTTGCTTTTGCTCAGAGACCTGGACATACCTGGTGTGTGATGATGGAGGATGGTGAAGTACAATGTGTACCTCAAGGTAATCTGACTCTGGGGGAAAATGCCTAATTTGGTAGTTGATAGAACAGAGAATCTATATATTATATATATGGAGTGGAATAAGGGGTGGAATGTCCTGGTTTGAGCCAGGATGAAACCAATTTTCTTTTTACTGATTATTTTTTTTTTTCCAGTGAAGTCTCTTTTAAGAAGCACACTTGCTGAAATTAACAGCAAGTTTCCAGCTAGTCAGCTGAGAACACTCACGTTTATAGTCACTGCTGAGAGACCAAGGCCACTTTGCTCCACTTTTCGGATCTGCTGCTTCGGACACTAAAGGAGCAAAAGGGTCACATCTACAACCCTCCTGTAGGGAGGAGCAGACTAGACAGATGGCAAATTTGGCCAAACAAATTATTCCATCCCATGTTGACCACGCAGATTGAGGCGACGTCAACTGTAAGTCTGTGGCTCTGTGCTTGGCTGCTGGTGGACTGAGCAGAAAGGGGGGTTTCCCGCAGACAGGGAAGCCGAGGAAGGGAGACCCGCCAGGAGCTGGCAGCTCCCGTGAGAGAGGCTGAGGCTGATGTGGCTGGGGGGGTTGCCGGAGCAACTGGGAGAAATTTAAATGCAGGCAAGCCGGAAGTTCTCTCAGACCGCACAGATCGAGGCGGGTAGCACTCTT